ATGCATCAAAAAATTAATGTTTTAAATTATTGGTAAAGTCTACTGTTCACAATTTAAGTGATTTATTTAAAGAAATGGAAACAATTAAGAACGGGAGAGAAATATGAAAGAAGACAATATTAAGACTATGAGGTTAAATTCTCATCTGTCTTCTCAATTTTCTGTCTGTTTTCTGTAAATATTTTTTTTTTATCAGTCTGCCTCTTCCTTTTTTTACTCGTATATCAAACACCAAAATAGACGAGAATGAACGAGTCGGTAATTGGATTTTAGTCCACCAGGGAATATATTCCGCCTTTTCTTTGACGCCATAATCAAAACAAAAATGTAGCCATCAGTTACTCATTAAAAAATCATTAGACTTGATAATAATCAGTCCTAAAATGATTAAATACAAAAACGTTATCTCCTACAATGCCTATAACGTGTACTATTAGGCCATAACATGTCAACCATCCACAAGAACTAGTCCCTTTATAACCATAGCGGACTGTAACTTTTGTTGATTTCTTCATTGTCTCGAAATCTTATTTAGAAATTCTCTGCTATACAAGACATATTCTCGAAGACGTTAAGTAAAGATTATAGAAATCAAAATAGATAACTGTTAGTTCTTGACTTAAAGAGATTAAAATTTATTGTTCAAGAAGCACTCATAGAGAGGTCTGTTCCAAAAAATGGCAGTTTTGGAATTCAGAGACAATGAGGATCATTCTGTGGAATTGGTAAGACGTGTCACAGTAGTAAATGTCTAAACAGCTGGGACTAAATAATGGTGACCATTTTACAATCTGTCTTAAAAATAACGACAAAATATCATAGGCTTTAAATTTTGCGTCAGTTGGGGAAAACCTCAAAATCCAGTCGAATCCATTACATTCACTTACGTGCTAATACCCTTGGGAAAAGTATGAATCCTCTTCCCCCTCTCCAGCTATGGGTAAATGGGTAGGATAGACCGAGTTCTATAGTCTTGGATTGCAACTGGTCTACCGCAGAAAGAAATGGCAACCAACTGTGGGAAAAAAATCTGCCTCGTCAGTCATGTATCGAAAGATACATGATCGCCTAAGCATGTATCATGCATTGCACATAACTGACTGGAGAAAAGCTATAGTGTTGAGAATAAATCTTATGCAACGAATATCAATATTTGTTGGCTTGTTTCTGTTATTTTATTGCTGCTTTATATAATAACAAACTCTAAGACTAAGTAGCGTCGAATCAGAACAAAAATGTCGTTTTGTACGAGACTTGAAACTCGCATCCCACATGTTTATTATCAATAGACACGGATATCATAAAACGCAGAGGAATAGTAAACGATTTCTTCCAGAAATTAAACACGGTATCAAAAGATAGAAAAATACAATTAAAAACAAATGAAAGACGATTGGACTGCTATGTAATATCATGTCTCGTTGAAAATGCCGGACAATGTTTTCACAGATGGAGAAGAAATTTAAAGCCAGAAATTATTTTTAGATTTTAAGAACTGTCTGGGATAATAACAATTTATTGATTCAAGTCTTACTAATTAACCCATAGCCTGAGGGACGAAGACGTAGATTCATACTTTTCCCAATGGTATTTAGGTGTAAATGAATATAACGAAGAACTCCGATTCCCAATTCCGAGCCGTTAGACATTACACCATCCGTACATCAACACTTATAGCACCTAGTAGTCCTAAGCGTTTCACGCATCGAGATACTGACCAAGCTTGATGTTGCTTAATTTCAATGAACGTACAAGAACATTGATATACCCTTGAGCCCGCAAATGTTTATTAAATTTTATAAAAGTCAATTTGTTTTTGAGTTTGTTATGTAAGATCATTACAAATCGATCCCTTTGAGAAAGCTAAAACAAATATGTTCATAAGACTTGATGAAATTTGTGTTCTGATTTGTTTTCCATTAAACACACCAAATTACGAATTTCAATTTTTATTATTTTTTTTTAATTATAAGAAATCGTAGGAGGATATTTTTTTCGGCTTTTGGAGGTGGAATCAATTTACATATCAAACTGGAATCCACCATAAGCTTTTCTAAAATTTAACTAATTTGCTTAACCTATTAGAAAAAAATTGAAAAAAAAAATTTGCTTATTGTACCTTTCTATCATAATTGGTCAAAAGCTGCAGAAAGTTACAAAATCATCATCATCATCTTGCGGCCTCAGCCGAGATTGAACTCACTACACCTTTCCAGTATTCCTTATCTGTCATAGCTAATACTTTGATTGGTGTAGTTCATAATCTTGTCAAATAGCTGAATACTTGATGCTTCGCTAGGGCTATCAAGGGTGTTTTTATCGTGACACCATCACTAAATGGATTGCCAACCAAGGCTCAGAGAGACTCCATTCACCCTCCGCAGGTTTTAAATTCAGAGTTTTCCTTCTCCTAGACCAGTTACCATCCAAGGCTATAGAACCCAGTCTGTCCTGCTATTTACCCATAGCTGGAGGGAGAAGAAGAGGATTCACACCTTTC